AATACTACTCCAGGTCCTCTTCGAATAATTTCGGTAACTCTCCGCTACTACATTCGGATTCAAAAGCCGAATTCGTTACTCAGCTTATCTCGTAATCGTGACTATGTTTTTAGCGGTAATTGAGAAGCTTTTTGAGATCCGATTTATTGTTAGTACTGAAATTCAAGCTCAATTGCTCTTGATGTTCAAGGTGTACATAATACATTCTTAAGTAAATGTTCAGTTTTTCATTCGTGAGCGAATAAATGTACGAGATTTTTCTACATTGTTGAGAAGTAATTGACAGTCAGTGAGCACACACATGTTGAGCAACATAAGTAAGGCAGAGAAGTATCTAAGGATTACAAAATGAGATGATTTTTGCAGTTGTCAACGGAGCCGACAACTCTATAAAATCAGAAAATCCCAAATCTCGACGACGAGCGTTTATAGCATAGCGCAATGATGCGAGGGCAGTCACACTGAGCATGAGCGGTGGTTCTCCGATTCCCTGTAATCAAAAAATTTAGCATGAGCAGTAAAGATTGCACGAGGATTACCTTTGAAGAGTAAACCTGCTCAACGAATGTATCTGAATCTTTTAGAAGTTTTACTCGGAACCTGTAATGTAGACAGTAAATCATGCAGTAACAGCCTATACAACAAAATCATATGCGGCACCCAACAGTGAACATTCAGAACTGCTTCACCTAATTCTCTCATTATTCTTATGGCTCAAATACATTCGTAAAATTCTATTTTTAGTCCTGCAGACAGAATCTAGGCAGATAAATCATTACACTAAAACGGATATTTTCAGACACGTTCGATTCATACTTTGCGTCAATTATGAAATCGTTAGAAGTTTTTCGAGAGATTAAAATAACACAACGCAAAATTTGTAATACTTGCTTGATGACTTGCATCCCCAAAGAAGCAGAATAACAATTTGCAAAAGCTGGTTATTGTTACGAAATTGGCATGGCTTATAGAACAGCACATTTCTGGGAGGGGTTCGAAGAAATCAATTCAATAACATAGATACCAAAAAAGGAGAAGAAACAAAGAGAGGCAAAGATTTTAGAAACTGATTAATTCACACTTTTGAGAACCTTCAACTGACTGAAGAGGATTTCTGCAACAACGCCAACTTTGCGTTGGTGTAAATAAGATTTTTGAAGCTGCAAAGCATAGTTTGTTGGACTAGAAGAGCACTAAAACTGAAACTTGCGTAATGCAGGACTAAGAAGGATTTCGTTTTTTCTGGATGCTATATGATCGCTTCGCCGCTATAAGCATCCGAAATGATTGTCATCGACGTCGAACTTTGCTAACTATTCTCGATCTCAAGTACCTATAGATATGGTAGTCTTAGAAGTTTTGAGTTGATTAATATCTTCTGAAGGACACTCTTACGACATTATCAAGAGTAAATCAGACTTATAGTCGCATTCGTTTCTTACATATTGGCATTTGATCAACCTAGTTAAAAACCCCTGTAATCTTTTCCAACCACTTTTTCTTTTTCTTAAGCTTGATTTTTAGCGAGAACAAACAAAGCAGGCAAACTCATATCTTATCTTACAAGTGTTAGTGTCTTGTTAGTTAAGGAAAAGAGAGCGTATTCCGAATTCTCTTCATCTTACGGGTACTAAATTTAGATGACACATGCATACCTTCGAGGCACCGTAGCAGGCGTTGGTATTTTGTACTTGTACATTGAGTCTTGAATAAGCTTGCCATTGTCATCATAAGTTAGCTCCTCGCTCGTCATGAGACCGTAACCCTGGGAAGCACTAATGACATTGAATACGAAATTTGTTGAAGTTTACGAGATACCTGCATAAAAGCGCCTTCAATTTGGCCAATGTCTATGGCAGGATTCAAGCTCCGTCCTACATCCAGAACCACATCGACCGATAAAAGCTGAGAAAAAATTATTATCTCCTAGCTTGCCTACTTTCTTGGGCCTCTAAGCCTTAGTTGGAAGTTTTAGTATTGCTGTAAGTCACACCTTTTGCTCTCCAGTACGACAGTCTAACTCGGACATCACGCAGGCTACTCCGCTTGTTTGGTAAGTAGGCGAGTCTTCAGGAATTCCGTATTTTTCCCGTTCAATACTGGAAAGCCACAATATAAACGAATATGCACCATGACGCATATTCAAAACAGGACACTTGATACGATGTAGACATGCAAATCCATCCAAATTGTGTGTTTTTCTGCTGTACTCTATCCCCCTCTTCTCATAAATGTGCTGACTTATAAGATTGACTTCAGATATTCCTTCATTTAGTTCGACGTTACCTTCTCTATGATTTGCATAAAGGCCATCTAACCACTGACTACTGCAGGAAAGTGTTACCGCTTCGGTCGAGATAATTCATTTAAGACATATTTTCTCTCGCACTCTCTGCTTCCCACACTATGAACTGAAAAGTATGCTCACGTTATATGTTCTGACGCTTGAAGTTTTAGCTTCCTAGCGTATGCCTTTATTATTGCTTTTTTCCAGTCTGGTTCCTCTTTCAGCACGGGTTCCAGCACTTCTAACAGCTTTTCGCAGCAGACCTAAACATCTATGTACTGCTGCTTCTGATGTGAGATCTACGCCAGCCTGACTGCGCACCTTGACAGCTTTGCCATGGGTGTCGGCGTTTTGGCTGCCTCCCGTTTCAGGAGCATTAGCGGTTTTATCGGTCCCACAATCAATTATAGTTATCATATCGAGAGGAAGCTGAAAAGCTCTGAACGATGGCTCACAATATGTAAAAATGAAGTTTTTACAAGTTCATTCTCGAAAAATACCCACTCCTAATGCACGAGAAGCAACTTGGAGACATTTCGTGTTTAG